GCTTTATTAACAATTACAAATTCACACATTAAACAACTTTAGCTGTATCTCTTAAATTAAGTAATTATTTATTATTATTAAATAACCTAATTTCTAATTGATGTAAGTAAAAACAAACAAAGAAAAAAACAAACAAACAAACGTACATTTGAATACAATACTAAATATCATTTCATAAAATAATAATTTTTTTCTACACGTAAGTAGTTATTTTAAATATAAAGTTTATTGCTCGAAATTATTTATAATTTTATTGCTTTTATATTGAAATACTATATGTTCTTGTAGAATAAAATTTACCAAAACTTATCAATTCAGAATTTTCATTAGTTAAATAAACAGTATAGATGAATTATATATCGATAATTTTTAAAATATTTATTTAGTTTGCAAAAATAATATTAAGACTTTATAAATAGTAAAATAACTATAAATATCAAGATAAATGTAATTTAACGATGAAAGCAACTAATTTATCTAACTAATTTATCTATATAACTAATTTATAATTAATGTTGAAATCCAATGGATATGTATATACATATTTATTTTTTTTTTCTTTTGAAAATGATACTTTAAGAAATTTTAAAATATCATTTCTTGTGAAAAATATCGTTCATTAATTCCTTGTGTTTTCTAATTGTCGCTCTTACTTGTCCTAGTGCAATTTGTTGAATTTAATAAATAATAAGTTATTATGCACATGTTCCATATTATAAAATTAATTGGGAGAATATAAAGATCTACAAATTTATTGCATATATCCTAACGAGTTTGGCAAGTTTATTCAATAAATCAAACACATACCTGTAACAATGAAATAAGATAATTACAATGGAAAATTTTCTTTATATTGGAAATGAATATGCACGTACAATGCTCTTCGACAATTAAAAAGAAAAATTTTTTCTTTAGCAAAAAGAATTGTCTTTCCAATCACTAACGAGAAACATTTCTTTCATTGAAAAAGGTACATATTTGTGTTTGCTATTAAACCAATAGTTTTGTCAAAGCTTAAATGTATAAAGCGGAAAAAGCCGTGAATAAATGGTTTGATCCATTGCGATGCTTCTTTGAGCAGCGTCACGGTGGACGAAGCCGGTGCAAGAAAGAATGTGATTGCCACGGGATCGCGTGACACAACGCGACATCGTGATCCTCCCGGTTCACCCGTCAAACTCTTCATGCCCGACGAATTCCAGTTTTACACACTAAATGGCTACGGTCAATTGGTTATGAAGCAGATGTCAAAGCAGGAAATTCAAGGTATGATAGCCGCCAGCGTGGGAGGTGTCAATATCGTCGACGACGGAGGCATCTCCCTCATTAAACCTGGACAGCAGCAACAAACCCAGCTGACCAACGATACACCAAAGGTGAACTTTTGTTATTACCCTTAATGCACACTTACGTTACATTCTTATGATTTTTCATTCTATAAATACGTGTGCATGTAAATACGCTCTCTGCGCGAGTGGATGCGTGTGTTTGTGTGTCAATATGTGCGCGAGCGTGTGTACAATTATATTGTAACAATTTTAATTTAACTACTATTTTTATCATATCCATCAGCTTAAATATGCAATAGTTTTCCTAACAAATAAGAGATCCGGTGTTAAAAATATTTTTGTATAATATATTCACGCATTTTCTCCCAATTTCCTGAATTTCCTTTATTTTTGCTAATTAATGCATGCATATTAATTGTTATGAATTTTAACATATACTTGAAGTTCAATCGATAATAATGCAATGTCCGATATTTTCTCCTACAATAAAAAATAATTTGTTTTTTTTTTTACGTTTTTAAATATATATTTAGCACCGCTTCAAATAACTGAAAAACTTGTAAGCAATAATTAATATACTATAAAACAATCAACAATTAAGGGGAGCTATTAATTTAATTAATAGCTTACAGTTATAAATAAAAATATTAAATTACACTCAAGTATAATGATAATTATCGATAAAAATGCCGTTTACTATTGAATAGTGCTTATATCAATTAAATATAAATGAACATTACTTGACATAAATTTACAAATAATAAGCTCATATTATTAATTCGTCTTCATATGCTAATTACCATGTTTCTATATTCGTAGGTATCTGATGTAGTGCAGAATGTGCAGAAGGTGTTAAAAAGTGAACTAAATAAACCAAAACCAGTTAATCCATTAGGCTCTTCGATACCAGGTAGTGTCAATAGTCAATGGACCAACATGCTGCCATATATTCTATCCGGTGGTTCGTTAGACCAGCAAGATATTTCTCAAGATGCAAGCGTCATTTTATCTACAGCAGACGCCGATCATTCCTATATGAATGTAATGCCTTTGCAAGATGATAAACCTGCCAATAATAAGTATGGACCAGGAACAAACTACGTGCAGATTCAGACTACCTCAAATGAAGAGAAAATTAAATTACCAAGTCATAAACCGATAGGGAATATTAATGAAAAGCCAATATATCTTTTAGGAAATATGGCTTTAGACAGCGATATTTTAGGAGCGCAGGAAGCGTACATTTTACCAACGGAAGAGAAACCAAATCGGCCAATATTAACGCCTCTCTATCAAAAATTGACAACAAAACCATTTGTTACAAAAGACACTGCCACTAAAGTACACAATTCGACAAATGGCAAGCCAACTTTATATATACCATTATCAGTTTCATCTTCGCTTCAACAAAACTCACAAAATCATAAAAATCACAGCCAATTCGATAATTCGCTAATTCCGAATGCTGTTACAAAAACAACTACAGAGAAGAGCTTCACAACATTATCTTATGGCGACGCTGAATCAACGACAATTGGTGCTCCAGCTAAAAAATCAACAACTCACATTTATTCCAACGAACCAGCATCAACGAGTGTACCAACCGTTCAAGTGCCTGTTAATTCAGTTGAGAAGATAACAAGCTCGACTCAACGTATAAATGAACAAACCCCGATTTTCGAAATATTACCGACGATATCACCCAACTCCGTTTTAAATACAATAAAGGATGGCTTATTCGCTACAGAATTGAACGAAGAGCATGTCGGTTCTATTAAAAAACCCGGAGTAATTTATGAATCATCGACATCATACCACACACCATATGATATTCTATCCAAGCCAAGTACCATAAGTCTTATGTCAACTTCATCGTACTATCCGCTACAGACATCAACGAAAATAAACCATCCAAATGTGGATTCATCAACTCATCAATCTATTCATCAGCCAATAACTAAAATCAATACCATTAAGCCTAAACAATCAACTCGCCGTCCTATAAACGAAATCGTAACTAAGCAAAGCTTTGTCAAAACCGCGTCAACATCTATTTATAATTTCTTAAATGATATCGAAACCCGAATAAGTACAACTCTAACGCCTACATTATCTCATCAGTCGACGTATGAGGCTGCTATTGAATCAACCGATGTGCCAGAAATTACTCAACCTCAAATACTCGAAACTACAACAAAACAAAATAGTGTAAATATAAAATTAAATACAAGTCAATCTATTCAAAACATTCAAGAGCCAATAAGAGCATCCGTGATTCAACAATCGTCAGAGCATGACAATGATTCGAATATATCACTGGTATCGAAAAATACGTTTACGGAAAACACTACGAGTGATTTATTAAAACTTAAATTAGAACAGGCAGAAATTGCCAAGAATGACAATTCAAAAACATCATCATATTATAATCAAATTGACACGACTACTAACATTATTGCCCATACGGATTTTGCTGAAAAATTAGAAGAAAAAATAATTGAAAACAATATATTAAATAAAGTAGATTATGAAACTGACAAGGTCAATGAGAGGATTAATCATACCACTACATATTCCGGAGCAGAAACAAAAAATAACATGCTTACGATAAGTATTGATACAAATTTTAATCATTCAGAAATAAGCAATATAATTTCATCGAGCAACGAACAAATGACAAAAAATAAACCATTTAATAAGGACGAAGAAACTGTAATAGATTCAGATGTAAAAACAATGCCACAAAAATCCAATATTAATAATAATTATCATTACTATACTATTGCTTTAGAAAACGAGACAACAAAGCTCCCTGAAATAATATACACTGAAGCAGATAATATTCCAGTTGCAGTGACAGAAACGTCCCTTCTTGATATTTATCCAATAAGCGAATCAAATATCGGTGAATTTAAACATCCAAATGAATCGCTTTTGCCAGCTGACGCTGATAATCTTAAAGAATTAAGCGATCCTATTGAATTTAAAGAAAGTAATCGATATAACGTAACAGAGGGATCCTTAAATACACATAAAAAGGATAATATAACGAATAATGCTAGCGTAAATAAATCTGAAAAAATACCAACTTGGATTTATAATGAAATGACGACTACTCGGTTCATTCCAATTGATGAAACTACCACGGAGTATTATGAAAAGAAATATGATTTTAATGATGTAAAAAAACCAATTGCAAATACGTACGACGAACTATATATTCATAAACAAGAAGAAACCACTACGCCATTTAAAGAAAATTATACTACTGATCAATCCAGCATTGATTCGACCGTAGAATACAACACGCCACTTAACAAAATTGAGAATTTATCGTACACAAATGACTATTCTAAGGAGTCATTGAATAAAGATCAAACTAAAAACTCGGCAAACACTTTGATGGAAAATAATACATCGCAGTATAAATATTCAAAAAAGAATTTGGATAATAAAAGCACAACCCCAACATATATAAGTAATTATGAAATAGAAACTTTAACAAATGATAAGCAGACAACAGCGAATTATATTACCGACAATCAAAATACAGATTTTAATTTCAATATTTATACGCAATCTTATTATGATGTTACACTCCCAATAAGAGAGTACAATAAGTTTTCTCAAACAGTGAGACCGGAAAACGAAAATACGCTCTTGAAGTCAGTTAATAATTCTAATACAAAATCGTCAATGCAACTTTCGACAATCTTACCTATTATTTCCATGTTGGAAAATAATTCGTTAGAAATCGAGAGCTCTACATCTAGCAATGAAAAATTGGAAATAATTACTGAAAAATCTTCTATTGAAAAAAACAACAGACCAACTAAATTTACTACAAAAATTGCTTACGATAAGAAGCCAATACAATTACAAGAAGATGAATTGTCTACGATTAAAGTTATTCCTGTATATGATGATGATGATACGTCCATATATAATTTACCATCAAATAAGTTAAATCAAGTTACGTCTACGACGACGTTTAATATTAAGTCATCTGGAAATACAGAAAATGTTTTTAATATTACAAAATTATCAGCTTTGCCTTCACATAACATAATGCAACATCTTAAACCCATAAATCAGATAAATTATACTTCAGATTCTTTCGTTCCAATTATATCGCAAAAATTAAATTACACTACAAAAAATACTGTTACTTATAATACAGGTTTGCCCAATTTACGCGAAACATTCTACAATTATATGAAAGATCATTACGATTCAAAATTACCTACAACTAACGACTACAACGAAGTATCACATTTTACGACGTTTCCAGCTGATGTCGATGCCAATGTTTCAAATGACACAAGCGACTTACCAACACTAACGACATTAAATCATACAAGAATCGATGTATTTAAACATCCAACGTTTATTCCATTGGACGAGGAGCCACAATTAAATACAAATCCAACTACAGACGTCCCGAAGTACAATAATACAGAATCAATCAGTGAATACCTGACTACTGTTGCTTATAATTTTGAGAATTTAGCTAACTCTAAAGCAGAGCAAAATCCAGATTCTATTACGAAAGGCACAATTTCGAAAGAAATTTACTCGACTAAATATGTTGATGATGATAATTTTCAAACATCGACAACGAAATTTCTTGGAGCGATTAACAAAGACAGCACCGAAACTCCTATAATTTACTTAGATTTAAAAAATTCTGATTCTGATGAACAAAGCATTTCTCATCAATCAAATGCCAATAATGTGCATAGCTCATTATTTACAAGAATTAAAATTAATAATCCAGTTATAGACGTTGAGAAAATCGTATCGGAAGCTACAGATCAAACAAATACTCCATCTTTAGTGCATTATACTTTATCTAATTATTATAAGGAACCTAATAATATCGCTAGTGGACTGATTGCAGGATACCCGACTTATGATCAAGTACAGCCTACGGCAGAATATTTCACCGATTCGACACCATACGACGTTGGTCGTAGTACTAGCAGTCCAACTACAAACAAGGATTCAGTATACGTCTCGTCTAACAAAGGCTTAGAAAATATATCAAAAATAGATGAAAATGTTAGTTACCAAGAAAAGTCAACAACTTTATTATTAGATAACGATAAAAATTATATGGACAAGACAAGCTCTATACCAATTTATATATCAGAAGGTGAAGGGGGTTCGACTTATAACTACTATGAATCTTATACATCTGTGCCATCCGAATCAATTCCAATGTCTAGTAAAACTAAAATTCCTAGTCAAACTCAAGACAAATATGACTCATCCTTAGAAAAAATAAGTGACTTGATCATGCAATTACAAGATAAAACATTGGAATCCGATCGTACAGAATACGAATATTCTATTGGTGTTACGACAACTGATATTCCTTTGGATAGAGTTGAAACGATAAGCGATGATAGTAATTTTACGCCTGCCGATCATACTTTTACTACAATAGTCGACAAAAAGGATAAGACTTCGTTAACAAAGCCAGACAATAGTACACACTTAATACATCAAAATCTGCCGTTTAGTAGACCTTATCAAAATAGTTCAGAATTAACGGGTCAATATCTTACGACAAAAAAATATTCTACGTTAGAAACATCGACTCTAGGCAATTTAAAAGTTAAATATAGTTCTAGCTTGACTACTGTTATGACTACAGCAAAGCAGCCTGTTACAGCAAAACCTTACATAATGTCAACATACAGCGCAGCCAAAGGATCATTTGAAAAGATTCAATCTACGATAGATAAATCTGCTGGTAGAATAAATCTCGAAGAGGAAAAAAATAAAATGCAAACGACTAAGCTTACGGAACATCCTAAATTTACTATAAAGAATAAAATTTATTATAGTAGCGATAAAAGGCCTACGAACGAAGGTTCCCAAAGTTATGTAAAAAAAACAACTAAGCCAGTCAATAAAAGCACAACTCTTATTAAAGAGCAGACAACGAGTAAGCCAGTGGCGATAACAAAAGAGAGCAGTGCCGAGAAATGGACTCTTATTCCGCAGAAAAATCTTGTAAATCAAACCGTAGATGTTAAACAATCCTCGGCAAACAGTAAAGAAGGCTCTCAAAAATTAAATCCACAAATAGTAAGTTTAGATCACGCGACGGGCGCCATTGGCTTGGATCAAAGTAACAAAGCTCTTGATAAAGATGTCGTTGAATTCGTAAACATGTGCAATGAATTGTCATTGAAATTCTGGGCCCTAGCGAATTCAGAACTAAGCTCATCTAGATCCATAACGTTGTCTCCGTTTGGAATGATCAGCACTTTGGCAATGATATTTTTAGGTGCACGGGGTCTTACGTCCAATCAAATGAATGATATTATGAAATTGGACGACGTTGTAACGTTCAATCCTCATTTGGTTTTTCAAAATATTACCGACACCGTTACTTTAGCACGAGGACAAGGCATTCAAAATGCTGCTTTTGTTAGGGCTCTTTTTGCCGATAGACTAAAGGTTCGCAAAATAATGCCCTTTTATAAAGAGCAAGCTCAGCAATTTTACGAAGGAGCAGTCGTAGATATAAACTTCTCGACTGCTGGTGATATTTTAAGGAGGAGGACAAACTTACTCATTAGAAAGCAAACTGGCGGTAGAATAAAGGACTTTGTTAAAACGCACACGGTCTCATTACGATCACCATTAACTTCTTTATCTGCTAACGTATTTCAAATGAGCTGCGATAGCCCGGACGCCAGTTCGGATGGGAGGGACGGGGAAATGTATTTCGCGGTTTCGCAAACGGTCAAGCAACGGAAACTCGTCCCGATACCCGCTGTTGTATGGAAATCCGGAGTGTCAGCTGGATACGAACCAGGTCTCGATGCAACGGCAGTGGCATTAGGCGACGTCCATAGGCCAGTATCATTAATAATGGTTATGCCAGGACAACAAGGACTCACGGCAGCTGGCGATAATTTGGAACGATTGGAGCAGAGATTATTTGGCAATCCGAGCGATAATGCGTTAGAGAAATTACTTAAAGTTATAGTTCCCAGACGAGTAGACGTTCAGATACCTAAATTTAGTCACCGTTCCATCGTCAATATCACGTCTGCACTAAAGAAATTAGGATTCGATCAGCTCTTTGCTAAAACTGCTGATTTGAAAGGTATCAATGGAGCTGGACACGATCTCTACTTAGCAGATATGTTGCAGGTATTAAAATATTTACTTAAAAAAAAAAAAAAAAAAAAAAAAAAATTAAATTTTTAAAAAAAAAAAAAAAAAAAAAAAAAATTATATATGTATATAAAGAACAATTTTTTAATGCAAAAGAAAATTATTTTTAGACTATTTTTTAAACTAACGATAAAGGTCTACACAAATAGAAAGAAATTTAAATTGATTACATTTGTAATTGTTGAAATAATTTGTAATAGGCAATGTTTATTGTGAATAATTTTCTGTGTATTGTTGCAAGTGTTATTACTATTTCTCTATCGTTCTCTTGTTTTTTTTTCTTTCTTTCTTTTTTTTTTTTTTTTTTTACAAAAATCGGTTTCTTCATTCATTGAAATTGTATCATAAATCATAAATCACCGATCGATAGCTTATCTTATAAATATTTTTTGAGATAAAATATTTAAACTTTACATACAGTTACAAAAAATTTAAAAAAAAATAAAAAAAAAAAAAAAAAAAAAAAAACTGTTGATACTATTATAATATTAATTCTCATTATTTACAGTTATCGTAATGATTTAAGAAATGTTTTTCATGCTTTCAGATGAATTTATTTGCCACGTGCGGCGATGAAAATAAATTAGGTGGTCGACCCTTGAGCGAAACTTTCCCTGGTACGTCAACCAGGCATACTCGAGCTTGGGAAATGATTAATAATATGAAAACTGGTATTGATGACTTGGAAAATAGCGAATCCGTTATCACTGAAATTAATGATAATATTAAACATAATGAGGAGAACGACTGTGACGACTCGTTGACTTCGGATAATTCATCTCGATTAAATGAGAGCCCCGAAGCATTACATTCGCAATCCGCTCAATCGGGAAAGCGAGACACTGATAAAAGTAATATTTTCAGGCAAAAACAAAGGAAAAAGTTATGGTGGCTCACACCTATAAAACGCAGACGATGTAGAAATCGTAGGCAAGTGGAAATAGAAAAACCTAGAATGAAAATGGACAAACCTTTCCTATACTTGATAAGACATAATCTTACTGGATTGATTCTTCACATAGGACGATTCAATCCAAAAAATCAATCCTAAATTATATGACTTCCAAGTATTATTAACATCGTACATCAAAGAATAATTTAATTAATTACATTTTTAGTTGGTTCGCTAAGTTAGAGAATCTTAGATGATAATTTCATAAGTCTATTTAATGCGCTAAGTGAACTCGGTGATTTATCTCCTAAATTTATAATTCATAAAGAAAAAAAAAAACTTTCTCACACAAATTAGCTGTAAATTATTTATTTATTTCATTTTCGAGTTCAAGCGATTAAATTGCAAATGTATTTAAATTTATGAGACTTCCTATTTTTAAGGCTCAAATAGTCATAAACTCCTTATGAAAATAAGGTATTTGTACTTAATCTCTTGTAAAATTGAATAATTAACTCATTAATTATTCCGACTAATTATGAAATTGGTCGATTAAAAATTTCATTTATTTCTTATAAAAAGCGTTTTATTTAGTCCCTTTGTTACATTATCTATGATTACATTATCAATATTTTTTTAACAAATAAAATAGTTCGATCCACGATATTTATATGTTAATCAATTATAAAATAAAATAATTCTATAAAAAAAACAACATATAATACTTGAATAACAAATGATATTAACATGATAAACCGGTGTTAAAATATTAATTAAGTTTATTCATAATTTGTTAAAATTAAAGAATATTTAAGAAATCTATTGGAAAATTAATCAATGTAAGAGATCATTAGTATAGACAATTAATTTACAAATATTTATGTGCATACATCGCACGAAATATAAAAATGTTCATTAAAAAAATTTTTTCAAAAGGCAGAGTAAAATATTATATAGCAATTTTTAATGTAAACTCTCAGTTTATTCTTAGTTTATTTGTAAAAACTTAATAGAAAAACAGTAAATAATAATTTAAATGGAAAATTTAATCTATGTCTCTGTTTATTTATTTTTTTTTTCTTTATTAAATATATATAAGCCTTAAAATTAGATAATAAGAAAAAAATTTATTATTGACCAGGACCGGATAACGATTTATCCATAAACTTCTTTTTCGCAAAACATAGCCACCATTTGCTTGGCTTTCCATCACTTCCATAAACTTTTTCAATAAGCCGAAGTCCTGTTTCTTGTCGTAATTGTAGTAAATATTGTCTCATGGAATCTAGATTTCAATAATAATATTGATTTCATTAAATGAGAATTTTCAAAAGATTATTTCAAATAAGAATCATATTACATAAAAGGGCTTGATTACAAATAGAAATAAAACAGAAGGAATAAACAAAATTATATTAATAATATTTTAACTAATATTTTTACATACCAGCTTCGGATGAATTATTTGGTTTAGCGTAAACAGAATTTAATGGAAAACCTGCATCTCCAGGAATATCAAACTTTGAAACTGCCAAGCAATACATTTCATTTTGTGCCTGATGTTGATTAATACACTTTTGCAATTTCTTTAAACATTCCGTTATATACAAAGTTATGTATATTAAAACTCTATCTGCTTCACTCTGAAATAAATTGTTTAAGCGTACAATATATTATAAATTGGCATCAATTTGACTCTTAATATTTGCCATTCCAATTTTTCAATTCTTCCAATTATTATTTAACAAATTGTATTTAAAATAGTCCTATTACCATTTTTTTCATCTAATTATAATATTTATCAAAACTCATTAAAAACATGTTTTTATAATATAAACTTTTAAACTTAAAGTTTTATATGGTTTTAAAACTTCATCAATTATCCTATTGTTTTGAGTATATTATAATGATATATAGTGAAATTATACCTTTATCTCATAGGTTCTAAAAAATACATTTGCTTTGAAATAATATAATGCTTCGTCTATAATATCCATGTCTTCGACAGTAAGGAGAGGTGGAGCGGGACCTCTATATGATGTCTTCAAGGGTAATAGGGCCATATTACCCAAATTATTGTTTTTCTCTGTGAAACTGGAATGATAAGCCTGAAACAAATCATTAAAATCATCATTAATTTATTAATATTAATATTAGAAAATAGCTAATTTTTCTTAATCTCCGATCATTTATACTTATACTAGTATGTAATATTATGTTATGATAAAATTAGTTAATAATACTAAAGAATTTCGGCCTTTTCATAAAAATTATTGAATAGTTTTTGGATAATTTATAACCTAAGTAAGTTATAATATATACGTACTGGCATTTTGATAGTTGTTTTAAAAAATATATATATATAAAACTTTTCAACTTTATCAAACTACCAATTTATTCACATTTAATTTATAAATATCATTTAAAAGATTATATTTCACTTTGTTATGAAAAGTCCAAATGTGACTAATAATTATGACCCGAGTGACGTATAATCAGCCATTGGAGTCTTGAACCTTCGAGTCTGATCGGACTGTCGATAGAAAATCCTCGTTGACCGAGAATGACTATTTTGACAAAACTGCGCTTGTCAGCGACGCTTTATTACCTTGAGCATTGTTTGTGTACAATTTCGGCTGCGCAAAAATTGAATCTATATTATCTGCATACGCATACGCATATACATATATATGCATATGCATATGCATTTATTGGTTTGTGTGCACATTTGTGGGTGGGTTAGTGTGCGTATGCGCGCATTGGCATGTCAAGGAAGCATTTTAAAAGACGGCGCCACAAGAATTGGCAAAAATGCCTTCATCTACGATTGTAGTCGATACTTTAAAATTAATAAACATTTAAATGTAGAATATTGTAAATGTAATATCAATTATATTAAATAAAACGATTTATAAGATTAATTTAAAATTTATCCATTTTTATAGTTTCTATTTCACAAAGTATTACTTATATAAAATAATTAAAATTTTATAATAATTTACAATGTATAATTAATAAAAATATTAATAAATTTAACAAGTTAAATAGGGGAGTGTTGGTAGAAAAGAATATAATTAAAATGTATTGAAATTAACCTCAAAGTTCGTAAACAAAGGATTACTGAATTTTGCAAATCGGTTTTAAGTTGTAGGCATTGTATATCACCATTTATTTTATTACTATTGTATTTCATATTAATTATATATTTAGTAAAAGTAATTATAAAATGGAGTTCGAAGATAATATTAGCCCGGTAATTGCTTTAAATGATTTTGCACGAGAAAGAAAGGAAGATGTTCCAGATATTCCTCCAAAAAGCTCAAAAATATCTAATTTAGATATATTTTTACTGATACTATCGATTATCACACATTGTACAGATTTCTTTATTGATATTAATCTTGTAGTTCAATATTACTTGAACAATAAATTACAAATGTTTGCGTGGACCATAAGTTTAATAATGATTCCATCTTTTATTAATACAATAGTCAGCGTACAAATGTATCATCAAGATGAAGAGGTATAAATTTATTAAAAATAATGTAAATCCATGGTATTTAATACTCTTATTTTTTTTCATTTAAAATCTGTTTATTTAAAGCTCTTTGAATTTAATTTGTAGAACAATACACAGAATAAGTGTACAAGAGGCAAAACATTTTTCAAGAAAATGGGACAAGTTATTGTTGTATTACTTATAGTAGTATTACAATTTACCATGGCTTACAGATGCTTCCTTAGCTTAAAATATGCTATTCAATCGCGCAATTGTAAAAGAAAAGATGATAAAGTGGGACAAAGAAAGTACTTTATTAAAATGTTGAAAGAAGAACAAGATATTGCACTTCTTAGAGTTTTAGAGTGCTTCATTGAAGCAGCACCACAACAAATTTTACAGTTATCTATTTTTGTACAAGATTACTACGGTGAATTTAGTATTATGAGTAAGTATTTTCGAAAGTATTTAAAAATGTATTTTTTATGCATAAAGTATTTCGTGTAAATAAATTAAAGAAATTTTCATTAATCCGATAATGTAAATTATAGCTTTACATCAAATCATTAGTATTATTAGTTCGTTCATTAGTTTGGCATGGGCAATGGTTAGTTATCATCGTGGTATTCGACTTGCCCAAGTGGATAAAAAAAATATTAATTTTGCTGGATCTGTACTTCAGTTTCTATGGCACTTATTTATTACCAGTAAGATATTTATTATTATTTTAGTAATGATATAGTTTTAATATCACTTTATGAATTTAACAAAATTTTTTAAGCTTCACGAATAGCATCTGTAGCAGCAGTAGCAATTTTTTCAACTTTCTGTGTTATATTGGCTTGCTTTTTTCATTGGATTGGAATGACAATATGGATTATTATGGAATCTCGCGGTTTAATTGTATTTTGTCAAGATCCAAATCGAGCTCCACATTTGCCTCGTACAATAATAGAACGAATTAAATCAATATTATTTACTTGTGTGCTTGGATTCATTTATATTTTCATTTATTTGAATCCCGATGATTCTGGTACATACACAAAGCATCTGTTTTATTATACAGTATGTTTATTGGAGAATATTTCAGCGAGCATTTTAATACTTCTAAGTGTGCCTAGTAATATTGATATTGTATGGTATCATTATTTAATATCTGCTACTTGTATAATATCATTTATAATAGGTGTAATTATTATGATATTTTATTATTTAAAATTTCATCCATCGATGAAACATCATACATTCTATTTTTCAAAATTTCTAAGGTTAAGATAATTTATTAATTTATCAAAATAATTTTTTTTTAATAATTTTTATTTAATAATTTAATATTGGTATAATAAAAAGAGAGCATTCACAATAGCAAAATAACAATAATTAGAAATCCGTAATAAAGTTATAAACAGTACAATAATATTTTAGATATAAACAGGAAAATATTTCCTAACACTTTGTTCATTTTAATAATACAACATAGTATTCAAGATATGAACCATTTGCATATAATCATTGACTTTTGAGTCTCATTTACAAAAGAAATACTATAATATACTGGAAATGTTTGGATACATACTTTTACTATCTTAGAATACTTATATATTTTACATACTAAAGGACTGAAAAATTAGTTTGTAAATTTGAATTTAATTCACATACTCTTTTGTATTAGTTTTTTATAAAATTTCTTTATCCACTATCTACTGCCAAATAAGCGAAGGTCCAATTTTAGAACTACGTCTCCTCTATCAACTTCTCGAAGCTTAATTCGTTTTGTGATTGGCCCACAAGCATCTTTACTATCTCTCATAATATCCACTACTCGAACTTCTGCTCGACCAAGAAATTCTGAAAGTAAAAATAATACAATTCTGTTATTGCCATTCATTATTTCCATGAACATTACATGGGCAAATAGACGTTTTGAAAAAAAAAAAAATAACTTTATATAAATAATACGTATAGTTAAAATGAAAATTTGAAAAAGTACTGATCAATGCTTTTTTTTAGAAGTATTGCATTTAATAAAGGATATTTTTAAATTTTGAAGGTAAAATTGACGACACATTCAGGTTTCAAGTAGTTTAACCGTTTGGTTTTTGACCATTAGCATTAAGATTTAGCTGATTATAAAATTAAGATAAATTCTTCAGTTTCCTACCATCTGGACTGAAGTATCCCTTATCAAAAATAGTAATACATAATGTGTCTTCGTGCAAATCCTTAACTTGGAACTGCATAGATGTATCCCACACTGGACAGTCTGTGCCTGAAACTACGATTGTTTGTTCCTCTTGTGAGCCCATTGAAACTTTACAAAATGCATTGCATTTTCCTACAAACATAAGATTGGAAATCTATAAGACTTATTTGAAGACATTGGATCTATCGTAAACAAACATGCTTTTTTACCTGATACAACAATACTACAAACAAATACTTAATAATTCTATTATATGCATAATTAATATAAAATACTAAACGAAACTTTATTAACTATAAATGAACAGAAGGGTTAGTATAGATAGAATTATCCCTTATTGTAAATACAAATATAAAAGTAAAAATAATTTTTACTTTTTATATACATTTTTATTGGTGAATTTCCCATGACGATCTTTCAAAGACAATTACTTTTGTATTTTTATACTTAATAATATAATAAGAAATTACAACAATGTTATTCATGCGGTGTAAAATGTATAGTTGTCAATAAAACAAAAGTATTCTTATTAAAATTTATGTATACCTAAAATATTTCTCACCAATGTTGTGCCTTATTGTTGGTTCAGCACTTAAAATATTAAAATTATTATTAAAGCAAACGATATTTGTAAATATGCATATGAATTAAGATATTTAAATTTTGTACTTAAAACATTATTATAATTTTGTGGTAAAACGTTTTTTTTTTTGAAATTTTGAATGTTTTACCTTTGTTTTAACTGACAAGATCTTCCATTTCCTCAATTATTATCCAAAGAAAGACTTTTTGCGATCTTTGATGGACTAGAATATACTGTATTAATTGTTAGTTTATAGTCTAGAGTGTTGTAGTCAAATGAAATTTATAAAAAATATTGTATGTCACCCCAGTTCTTATCACTTTTTTGGACGTTTCAATGTACTAGATCCCAAGAACCAACTTCGACATGCGTATAGGAGAAAAAAGAGTAAGCAATAAGCAAATAAGTACTACGTACATATAATAAATACTACCATTTAGAAACAAATATATAATAAAATTATTTTCAATAAAAAATAAATTATATCTTATTAATATTCTAAATAATATTTGCTAATAAGACTATTATTATATGTGCGACAAGGTAATCATAACCAGATTTGTACCAAATATTTGTATGAATTTTAAATTTGTCTAACTTAATATTATGTTTCAATCTCTTTCGAAAATAAATACGTTAAATGTACTTATTAATTATTTTCATGGTGATATTAGACATTTAAAGAAATTAATATTCAATATTTAATTGCCGTATGAGTTTTCCATAATAATATTATAAATAAAGATATTTTGATAATATATAAATAATAGTATTGGTAAAAAAGGAATTAGTTTGTAGTTTGCATAGAAATGTATTGAACCGATATTATTCAAAGTAGACAGGACTTTCAAATAAATATGGTAATACATAAATGTCTAATAGTAATAATAATCAATATGAAAAGTCATGGTGGCTTACCAGTTGTGGCTCTTAAACTGGAGCCTTCAAGTACCGTTACAAGAATCCGTCCACATGCTTTGAATTGCGCTTGTTCTGTACATTAATAACAACAGAAATTGTATTATTTTCTTTGTAATAAACTAATATTTAACAACTAAAGAATGTTGATTTATTTTACAAATACTTTTGAAAATAAATCCACTCTCTAATGCATTATTATGCATTATAAACAAATACAAATTGTTATTATTTTATTATATGAATTTGTTATAAATAATTTTATATAAGCTATAGCAATACTTGACATTTTTCTGTATAAAATTGCCTTATAAAATTGAAAAAATCTTTCATTTTTTTAAATTTTCTTATTTTTCACTATCTCTCATAAAATGATATCTCTCATAAACTTAAATTAACTTAGATTAAAGTGATTTTTATATTATAATTGAATTTAATAAGATTTTATTAATATTTCACCTTTCATAATGTACAATGAATAAGAAATATACAATTCTAAGATGTATCTTGAATTAATACTCAAATTCTTATATTATATTAGGCACATTTAACTATATCTTTATTAATAGTTGTCTATAGAAATCTTTTATTTCTGTGCTGAAATTTTTACTGACATTCTTTCTTATAAATGAAGTAAATATTGATTTTACAAAAATGAATAGGCAATATGCGTAAGGATCAAATAGACAGTAAATAGAAATATCTTTATTTATGAACTTTTGTATTCGTTATACTTACTCGAACGCTGACGTTGTAGCCGACACTTTTCATTTTCAGCAAACTGTCGTCGAGCTTCTGCTATTCGCCTCACCCATAAGGAACATTCGCTCGCGGAAGGTGCTAGCAATGTAATAGCTTTCTTGGAGTCGTTTAACTTTAAGGTTCTCGACTGATCGGATGCATCACCACCATTTGTGGTGACACCCGAATTTACGTGCAATTCTGACTCGTTGAATAGAACTAAATCCTGGAGAAATATGGGCTGAAAGGAGGATAAGTTAATGAAACGTAGAAATAGAAAAACCTGAGACTATAAAGTATCGATACTATTAATCATTTAAGATTAAAGAAATAATTAAATTCAATACACTTTTCTACACTATTGAAAACAAAAATCGCTAATTATTTGCTTATACGATATTATATAATATAGGCATTAAATTTAAAGGCATTCGTTCATAAAAACTTCAATTATATAATATTATAAAGATATACCAAAAACTAGCAATGATTTGTATATTATTTTAAAAATAACCAATTGACATATTAAATATATATATATGTTATTAGAATTTGTAAAAGTTGACAATTATTTTTATTCATAATCAGAATTTTTAATTGAGGCTCGACTTTTAATTGAAAGATAGATTTTTATAGGTATTTTTATAGCTTTGCCTCAGCAACTATTTAATCATCTAAGCGTATTGAATATCAATTACATATTAAACTTTAAATGTTACCCTTCTATATAATTTGAATCTATGATATTCGTTCCGTTCAAAAGAAAATTGTTGCCCGCTTGGTATAGATTTTAATGGTTGAGCGAATAATAAAAAGTCATTTGTAAGAAATCCAATGAGTTCCTTGCCACTCTTAGCTTTATGTAAAATTCCAAAATGTATGAGCTTACGCGGGCCAAGAGAATTTGTGAGTGAATTAAAAACGATTTGTTCTTCTAATCCATCACACGTGACGTGTGTTTGAAGCCACTCTAGTCTATCGCTATTTTCTTTTTCTCGTACGCCTTCGTTAACCTAATTTTCATTAAAATTGAATGTAAGCAAATTATTTCATGAAGTAAATTAAATAGTTCTTTGAGCATTTTAGAATACCTGAGTACAAAATTCTTCGGCCTTAGCCAGCGCTTCTTGTAAATATTGCTTATCAGGATGATCGGAACGTGTATATTCTAGTATCTGGTTTACAACAATGAAAATATATTTCTTGAATTCAATATTAAAAATATCATTGGTGTAATGTTTAATTAATACATAAATTACAAGAGTTTTTACATTTTTTTCATAAAAACATGATTTCGAACAATATAAACGCAAGTAATTATAACTATCTTATTGTAATAATTTAAAATTCTTTATTATATCGATTAATTATATTTATTTATTAATATATTTATCAATCTTGACAATCTACTATTCTTATTCTTAAATGATAAGAATTAATATATTAATCAATCTGTTTTAATAATCAGTAAAAAAAAAAAAAAAAAAAAGAAGAGAAATAGGAAAAAAGTTGTTCAATACCTTTCCGATAAGTAATGGATATTTGGTAATTCGCTGCATTGGTTTGATTAAAAATGAACTTAATGGCATTCCTTTGGTACGGGGATCTTGTTGACATCTTTGAGAAACTTCGACAAAAGCGGGAAAAGTTTCCGTCAGTCGCTGAAGATACACTGCCGCTGAGATTTGACAACTACAGAATCTAACATACGCAGACATTCTTGGTATCTGAAAATGTAAAAACGGAAAATACAATATTGTAGATTTAATTTGGAATTTTTTAAATATTTTTATTATATAAAATACATATATCAAATTTTTTATGAGTTTTTTTGCAATACATTTAACTTTATTAATATGGATAAAATTCAATAAAACAATGATGAATAACCCCAAAAGGAGATGACATTAATTATTTTTTTATTTTTGTTTTTAATAACTTTGTTTAACCATTGAATATTGAAAATATTGTAATGTATATTTTATTATACATATAAAAAAATGATATAATTATTTTTATAATTATATGTTTGATTTAATTAAGATGACAAATTTCTTTTTCTTAATACATTATATTAAAACTGCGTCTAACTGTTAAATAAAAACATCGTTACTTAAATATATATATATATATATATATATATATTTTTTTTTTTGAAATTTAAATTATAAACATTTTTTAATAATGCCTTCTTATTCTATATTCTAATAAACAAAATTCTGTAAACTTACACTTTCACAAAGAATATCGCCAATCATCCTGACAATTCCGCCTTCGCTATTGTCTCTCCTTATCCTCAATGTTCTATAGAAAGGATTTTATTTAAAATCAATAAAACACATGGAAATAATATAAATTTATTACCTCAAAAAATTATCATTACAAGCGATTATATCTCTCCAATTGACGAATATTTTATCAACTTCATCCACTGATAGCACCATACTGTTTAAAAGTGGTTTTTCAAATACCTACATAAAATATAACAATTGAAAAGATCTTAAAAATAATATTACATGCAGAAAAATAAATTATATTAAATATGCAATAATGTACATTAAAATTATGTTATACATTGAATAATTAAATATTTTAATATATATATATATATATATATATATATATATATTATTTAAGAAGATGATAGAATAATAATAATGCATTTCATATAAATTACATTATTTTAAATATTCAAATTAAAAAAATTTTAAAATCTATACATATTATTTCAATGTATTTGATGAGTTTTGTGGATACGGAATACAATAAAACTTTTATAAAAAAATATATATATGAACGAAGTACATAATTAAATAATTATATCGTAGTTTTATCTTCAATATAAATAATTTTTACAAAACTTATTCTATCTCTTATTGGTATTAATATTATCTAATTAATATTAATATCTAAGTCATAAAATGAAATTTACTTTGGAATGTATATGATATTGATATATTGATTTACTGAACCACTAAAGAAATTTGAAAATGGTAAATCTCCTAGAAATGTATATATAATATAAACAAAGTTTATAATTATTTGTTATTTTAGTAATAAATGCCTTTGTACTGTACTTAAAATGTTAAAACTGAAATACTTGTATCAAGAGTAAAATTTTCGTTTTATTATTATTTTTTTTTTTTTTTAAAGCAAAAACATTTAAAAAATCGGTTTCATTCAATTCACAATCAAGATAAATCTTATTTGTAATAAAATCAAATTAATTTCGATATTAATTTAAAAATTAAATGAGTATATTATCTCCATTCAATTTGCATGTGTCAATCAACTCGCTTTCTAATCATATGAATAGTACATCCTGCAATTATAATAATAAATAATTATGTTAATTTTGAAGTGTTAATTATATAATATTCTTATAAAATTTATCTATATTGGACAATGCTTGTAATGAATATAAGTAATAATTAAGAATTTTATTTATTTCTTTATTGATTTATTTTTGGTAGTAATTACATTAAGTATGAATATACAAAATTTATTGCATCGACACAATAGTTCTGCTAAGTTGAAAAATTATTATATAAAAATCATTACGAACCGTAAGAGAAAAGCAAATGTAGAAAAGGGGTTGGTTACCTCATGTACTAGTTGCATATCAACGATGTAAGCCTCCTCCGTAATGATTAGTTCCTTGATGTACTCCTGCCGCTTTCGTTCCATAGAATCGAGTTGCGCCATTGAATCCTCTTTTGCAAAATCGCTGACTGTGTGTACGAAACACACGTAAGGGCGCGACGAAAAAAGAAAACAAAATGGATATACAATATAGTGCCGATGGGACTATTTCTGTGATCTTGTCTCCTCTTCCTTCTCTTTCGCCTCTTCTTCCTCTTTCTCCTCCTACGAAAAATGTTGCTTATCGCGAAAGCCGCGCGCTTACCTCAAACTGTGTTAGGCATTATTTCTCGCCCCGATACGCGACATATTGATTTTTGCTTATTACTTTTTTAATTTTGCCTCGAATATCGAGAGAAGTTATTAAATTTAGATAGGCTGGACGTTCGCAATACTGTAGCAGTAAAAATACCAGAAAAATTTAATAAGAAATCGAATTCGAATGTCATTTTGTGGGAATTTTAATTTTTTTTTTTAATACGGAGTTACGAAACAACATGGGCATATCACGTACACAAGTGAAAATTTGCTAATAATGAAATACGATGCATTGATTAGATATTCGTGTGATTATTTTTCGATATTTACTTTCTTAAGTAATTCTAACCTCTAGTATGTGTATCTGATCATCTAAATTTATTTTTGAAAAATATTCTATCTCTGAACAAAGTAACTTCATTTATGCTAATGTATTTTACATGCAATTTTAGATCTATTTCTTTTATTATTTGCAAAACTTTTTTAAATCAGTCACTTTATATAATGTCAATTAACAATTACTATATATATATTTTTTTTTATAATATATCGATAATAAGTTTTATAAATATTTTATAATTGTTAATTTAATTAATAGTCAATTAATAGATAAATAAAATAGTTTATAATATATTGTAAAGAATTAATAAATGTTGTAAAATATTTATTTATTTAAAATAAAATACTTATTTAAAATCTACACATCATAAAAACTGAAATATTATATTACATCGATATTTCTTACTAAGAATAATAAAACATCTGAAGAAATTTTATTTTAACTTATACATTGTTATAACTAACATTGTAATATAAATATCAGCTCTATTCTGCTAATAAGCATATTTATTAAATGGATATAGTTGAAAAAAAAAAAAATAATAATAATAATAATGGAACAATCAAAATATGTTTAAAGAAAAAATAATGATATTAATTGAAATAAGAATGTATAAAATTGACTAAAAGAATAAAAGATTCAATAATTTTTCTTGAAATGATAATTGAATGAAAAGTTTAATTCAACTCCATTACGTGCAATTTTTATTTTCTTTCTTTCTTTTCTTTCTTCTTCTTCTTTTTTTTTTTTTTTTTTTTTTTTTTTTTTTTTATTAATATCCGATAATACAACGTGAAACAATATAAGTCTTGTATTGATAACAATCTGAGGGTAGCGCTACACGTATAATAGTTATACATAATTACAATAACTGTAAGTGTATATATATATATCTATATATATATATATATATATATAATCGAAGTACACGTAGCGTAATCACGCCTTAGCAAAACACGCTTGACAGTTTATAATTTTATATTTTTATATTATTTGAATAGAAAAATGTTTTCCGAATAATATTCTTTTTTTACCTTTCAAATTTTTCATTAGCTCATTTTTGTACATATTCGTATAAATATTTATTTATTAAAATCATAATTCTGAATACCTACATATAGTTTTACTTCAATTTCCAATTTTCCGTCATCTATTACAATAATAGATATTTTATTCGAATGTAATTAAATTATTATTTCGCGAGTCAAGAGCAATGAGAGGTGACGAAACGCGCACACGCTCGTGCATACACAATTGTGTGAGAAGTCGCGATATTTTTAATGCCTTATATCTTTGACTTTTTGCATTTAGTACATTTAGCATTTAGTAACTAGTTTAATTACATCGCGATTTCATTTTTGAATTAAATTGTTCGCAGTTTTACATTTTTTTCTTGTTCCTCGATAAGGAACATGATAGTATTATTTTTTTTTTTGTTTTTACATCGCTAATTTTACTATTTTCGACGTAAAATAAATTTAATTATTTTTTAATGAAGTTCAAAAAATGTTTTCCTAATTTATTAATAGCAAATAGTTAGGAAGACCTATGTATATAATTGTTTATTTCGTTTTAGTCGTACAATATGTGTGTATTAATTGTGTCAGGTGGATCTTTATTGATTAAATTTATTTTCTGACTATTTTGTTTCTATAATATTTTCTTCTTTCTTTATTAATTTTATAGCATATAACTCATGTAATATAAGTAAAAAATAATAACAACGGCTTCACAACAGCTACATTATATCATTGTTATAAAATTGCTTTGTATTTTAATCACATGCAAATCAATAATCCACATAAAAGCATTTTCTACAGTTGTGATAATGCTATATATTTATCGTTATATTATTGTAAAAATTCAACACAAAAATGATTAAAGTAAATTTATAGAAAACTGTATAAATACTATATAATGTATAAATACATATTTTCAAAATTTATTTCACGCAATTTCAGTATTACCTAGATTTTATATAAAACGCATGTTTTAATTGAATATTGTTCAAATTTCATTCATTGCCAGTGAACTTACAGTTTTATATGAATATATATTGATAAAGTGGTATTGATTGAATTATGTAAAAAATTATTGTTTCATCTGTAACTTGAAATTAGACTTAGATTTTGAAATTCAATATTGAAACATGTGACTGCATAAATTAAACTGAAATACCAATTAACGACTTTTTATACTTTTCATACTCATTAAAAATTTACAAAGCTTTTCATTCTCTATCTCCATCATAAAATAATATTTAACTGTTTATGTAGTTTTAATACCTTTCATAATTTATATAAATCAGCAATTCACGTTTACGGTGTACTTATTTCTTAAACTATTATTTTAAAATAATATTCTATCGTTTATTAGGCGTATGGTGGTCGTAAGAGTGCAAAAGTGAACTTTGGTATCAAGTCAACTTTCAATTTTTGTATACTTTAATATCTTCTAAAGTAGGCAAAAGAGATATGTATATTAATTTAATTTTACGACTGTTGATTATTATTATTATTATTTTTTTTTTTTTTTTTTTTTTTTTTCGTAATGATTAACCAATTACGCACTCTGAAAAGTTTTTATTGTTTTCTTTCTTTCGATGCGGAAGAAAATTGCAAAAGTTATTCCGGAAAAGTAATATTTAACCAGAGATTTATAGAAAATGTAATTTCAAAATGTACAAATTGTAATTTCAAATAATAGTCAACGAAATAGTAAACTGAACAATCATTCCGGAATCACTTTTTAAAAATTTATTAAAGTAGTTTCTAAAATATGATATAAAAATTTAAATAAATATATAGAACATAAACAATTCATGTTAGTAAATATATGTACTGTAGAATGCAATTTTAAATTGAATTTTAAATATTTTGATGTGTTCCCATGTTGTTAATTTAATTTTTTTCTGTCGTCGTCGAGGGTTTAAAATTAAAGGAACATTCAGAAGTTATTTATATATATTTATAAGCTTATACATGAACATATGAATAATATTATCGAATAATATACATTTTCATTAGTTGTAACTATAAATAATATATATTTTTTTTGGTTCGTTAAAAAAAAAAAGGAAAAAAAAGGAAAAAAAATCTAAATGAACATTTAACTTTAAACATTCTGATAAAATATAGTTAAATTTGAACATTGAAAAAATATCTTTTAGTGAAAGCATTATTTTAACATCTATACATATATGTATGCATACATATATTGTGCACGTATATATAATGTTACGATGCTACAATACATGGCCATGAAATAATTTTTAAATTAATTTTGTCTTAAGTAATATTTCATTCAATATGTCAGTATTATTATAAAGATACTTTTACTTCTAGTTGTCTTTAATCCGTAAGAATTTATAATATTAAAAAAAAAAAAAAAAAAAAAAAAATGCCCATAAATATATTAAAAAATGGATTATTATATTTAAATAATGATTTTAAAAAATATATAGAAAAGTATATAGATTATGCTTGAGGAAACAAAAGCCATAAGATCGATTAATTAACAGACATTTATTCTATCCTTAATATTTCCAATGGCTGTGCGACCCTGCGACTTCAAACCTTCTGGCCAAGAGTACGTTATTTATTATGCCCGTTGTCTTAATTATTTATTTTTCCATACTAGGTATTATTTATGCTTTCTTTTTTCTTTTTCTTTGGTATTACAGTGACAGCGCTTATACATTTTTTTTTTCATTTTGATTTCCGTACCAGGATAAATCTGGCGCAACCGAAACTAATTGTTAAATATATTATGTAATGGAAAAAGAACGAAATACGGAAACGTCAACAGTTTAACTATTACAATATCATAACGCTTGCTCTTCGTCGTCTTTTAATTTATATAAATATTAGAATTCCAAAGTTACAGCGTTTGGCGGTCCAAGAGTAAACGAGGATATATATCTAGTCTTCATATAATATTCGAAACTCGAGAAGGCATTTCTTATATAATATATATCGTCATACATGTACGTTCTAATTGTAAAATTCAATTTTTCATTTTATATTATGTTATTAGCGACATCACTCGCATTTAATATCATTCCCACACTCATACGTGTGCGTGCGCAACCAAGCATGCATCCATCCATACACACATTCAGTCAACCTAATATTCGCGTTAAAACGAAAATGTCAAATTTCTTTCTCGAGTCTAATGAAACGACGAATGTAAGTTTAAACATAGTTTTCAACAACAGTTGTTCGTAAATTTTACCTTAAAATTTTTCAAATTACATATATATTATCCTACCTCGTGATGCTGTCATAAGTTATTTATTATTTCATTCTTTAAAAACAGTGGTTGAAATAAATGATTATAAAATGAATCAAATAAAAATTAAATAAAATCGTTTTGATTAATTATTCGTAACAAAAAAATTTAATAATAACAAAAATCGAATATTTAATATTTTTATATATTAAATTTTTAGTTGATAACTTTAATGAAGTAAATAATTTAGAACGCGCAAAT